GGGCTGCGTTAGTGCCTATGGCAAGGGCAGCTTACACATCTGGAAAGGCTCTATCAATGCTGAACAGTATATAGAGGTTTTAGAGGAACATATTCTCCCATCCAGACAGCGTCTCTTACAGGGAAGGCCTTTCATATTTCAGCAAGACAATGCTAAACCACATACTGCATCCATCACAAGAGCATGGTGATGCAGAAGAAGAGTCCGGTGCTGAACTGGTCTGTCTGCAGTCCAGACCTTTCACCAACAGAAGACATTTGAGCATCATGAAACGTAAAATCTGGCAAAGAAGACCCGTGACTGTTGAGCAGCTAGAATACTACATCAAGATGTCAAGATGTTTTGGGAAAAACTTAGCCTGGATCAATCATGAATGATCCCAGCCATCATCTGGGATCATTTATGATTGATCCAGGGTCAGGGTCAGAAAGCTGATTGGCTCTTTTCTTGAAGGGCGAGACTCTGAGCATTTCAGCTGAATAAATGTAGCTTGAGGCTAGCAAGGTAGCTCAGGGCTAACTCATTAGCTCACGGTGGACAGTTAGCTCAGGGCTAACTCATTAGCTTGCGGTTACCAGTTAGCTCGGGGCTCATCTACACCTCTCTGTCAGTCAGTGAAAAGAAAATAAAACACCTAAACAGTTCAGTGCAGTTGGTGTTAAGTGTTTTTCATTTGACGGTTTTATTTTTGATGAGGCTGAACTCCAAAGAGGTGTTTCCACTCCAAAATCTCTAATATTGTACTTTTATACTATTGAATGCTCTTATAAGATCTACAGGAATTTCTACAGGATTCCTACAAGAATCTTTCAGTAAACCTAGATAATTACTCTTGGTTAGGTTACTACATAGGTAAATATTAAATATTTTTAGTTATATACTTGATGTAATCTTGTACTTTCTTATAGCATTACTACAGTTCTGTTTTCATGAGGGACACCTAACTCATTTTAAAACAAGGAACATGAGGCTGAAAGTGCAGTTGCAATTCCAAAATGTGCCAATAGAGGAGTACTCACTCGTAAGTGAGCTGGCTGTGAGGCTGGGCACCCGTTTACAGGACGAACAAAAATCAGGGGCTGTTTGCACAGATTTTGGGAGGTTATGTGTCATCTCTATCTATCTATCTATCTATCTATCTATCTATCTATCTATCTATCTATCTATCTATCTATCTATCTATCCTATCCATCCATCCATCCCTGGGAAATAAGCAGTATTCAGACTACCTCACATCACCTCTTCATATAAAGTGTAAATGTCTGAGCTGACCTATATAGGCTACACAGTTAAGCTTTTGGATGTGGGAAACTCCCCAATCCCACTCTTGCCAGGCATAACTATTGTTGCATTTTTACCTACGTAGTGGATCAGACACAGCACTGCAGTAACACTGACGTGGTGGTGGTGTGTTGGTGTGTGTTGTGCTGGTCTGAGTGGATCAGACACAGCAGTGCTGCTGGAGTTTTTAAACACTGTGTCCACTCACTGTCCACTCTGTTAGACACTCCTACCTTGTCAGTCCACCTTGTAGGTGTAAAGTCAGAGACGATAGCTCATCTGCTGCTTCACAGTTTGTGTTGGTCATCCTCTAGTCCTTCATCAGTGGTCACAGGACGCTGCCCACAGAACGCTGTTGGCTGGATATTTTTGGTTGGTGGACTATTCTCAGTCCAGCAGTGACCCTGAGGTGTTTAGAAACTCCAGCAGCACTGCTGTGTCTGATCCACTCAGACCAGCGCAACACACACCACATCAGTGTTACTGCAATGCTGAGAATGATCCACCACCCAAATAGTATCTGCTCTGTGAGGGTCCATGGGGGTCCTGAGCACTGAAGAACAGGGTAAAAGGGGGCTAACAAAGTATCAGAGAAACAGATGGACTACAGTCTGTAACTGTAGAACTACAAAGTGCACCTATATAGTAAGTGGAGCTGATAAAATGGACAATGAGCGTAGAAACAAGGAAAGAAAGGCCTAATTGTGTTTTTATGTTGTTGTTCCTTAGTTTGAGTAAGTGTTGTGTGTTATTGGGGTTAATTTTTATCTGGGTATGTGGGTTGGTGTTTTTTTGTCCTGGGAGGGGGTCACCAGTGCCATGAAGCCTTCTGTCCATGTATGTTCCATTTTCTATTCATTCTCAATAAAAAGCAAAAAGTTGAGAAGAGAGAATGGCTTCACCTGATTCTTCTACCGAGTGTCGCTACAATATTATAAGATAATTATGGTGCTCTCTGAACTTGAAAGCATTTATTTGCCCCTAAACAGGAACTGTGGCTCATTCTGAGGATTCAGCAGCAATTACACGCCAGTAACACTCAGCTTATGGAGTGTGCATGGCTAAAAATAAGCATACCTGTCACTCCAAAATCAGCGGACCGATAGATACTGAAGGTGAAAGATCTATACACCCTTAAAGTGTCTCATAACTTTAAAATAACATTTGATTCTATTCTCATTATTTGAATTTGTAATATATATTTTACATTTTTTGCTTGTGGGTTTTATAGTTTTGTTAAAAACGTTTGGCACCAAAATAAAAGCATTAATTAAACTGTTTATACCAGGAAACCACAATATAACGAAAAACTTTCTAGCAGGTACAACTTTATCAGATGACTGACTTTATTTTGTCACAGTTTCTCAAAGTTAAATCTCACAGCACTGTACAAGTGAGCTCTGCTACCCTCTAGTGACCAACTGACATTAAAACTCCATTTAAAATGTGAGCACTTGGTTTATAATGCACTGGTCAGTAGGGATGGATGATACCACTGATTTTTTCTTTGATCTGTGATACTAAATACCGAATTTGTGATTTCCAGCAACACAGCTGGATACAGAATACAGTTCAGCAAATAAGATGAGCTGTGAAACGCTTTATGGACTGACTGGAACAAAACCACATTCAGCTTCAACTGGCACACAATTAAAAAACTGAGCTGAACCTGATATTGCCACACTTTTATGGCTCTATTTGTCGTATGAAGGGGTATTACTTTTTGGCAGATGAAATTGCCAATATAAAAGCATGTTTGGCATAATATTCATCCTTTTTTAACTTGTAACTTTTTTGTAGAACTGTTGTATAGTACAGTAGAACAGTGTTTTATGGTGAAAACGTCATGCCTGTAATGGTCTATTGCAGTCGCCTCAGCTCATACATCTGCATGATGTTATTCACTATAATTGCTATTGCTTAAATAGCACATGATTAAAAAGCCTAGAACAGGAGGGGATGCTATGGATAACACTGCCACATAAAATAAGAATTTCAGTGGAATTGTGATTGCAAGAGAAAAATGGTGATATTGTGAGATATCGCTGCTCCATTTTTGTCATTTTTCAGTTTTTGACAGAATTTGGAAATGCCTTTCGCCCTTTATATTGTGTGTAAATTTTATGATGAATGGACCAAAGGAAATGGCCAAAATTGACTTGGAAAAAAATCTGGTTCCATTGACTTACATTAGAAGTACAGTATGTTTTTCCTTCTCCTGTAAAGTTACCATTTTGGAGATACAAGGTTTTATACCAGCGGACAGCAGTGATATACCCTGAGTAGGGCTGTATTTGAATATTTGGGAGCCTTTAAGCAATATGCCTGCACCCCACCCACCTCAATCATATTTTCTATCATATAAACTATAAAAAAACAAACATCGCCGGGTAGCTCTGGCCTCAACCAACTACTCATACCACCTATAACTACAAACGGCTGTGAGTCTGAGACAGCATTTGCAAGAAGAAGGATCCTATAAATCTCAATTCCAAAAAGCTGGAACATTTTGTAAAATGAAAATGAAAACAGAAAGCAGTGATTTGGAAATGCAAATTAACTTTTTATTTAAAAAATTTAAAAGAATACACAAAAAGACAAGATATTAAATGTGTTACCTTATTAAAGTTTGTAAATAAACTCTCATTCTAAAAATTGATGTGCACAACATATTCCAAAAAAGTTGGGACACGTACAATTCCAGACTACACTGTTAGAAATAAAGGTTCTGTTCAGGTACATTTTTCATTCATCAAGGTACAAACAGTGTAAATGTGCCCTCAAAGGTACAACAGTGGTTTTAAGGTCTGATTGTGAACCTTAAATAAGTTTTTCCAGGTGAAAAGTTTGTATTTGTACCTTTTCATAACCGAATGTTTTAAAACAATACAGTAAAATAAAAGCCTGGAGGCGAGACGGGGTGTGTGGAGTCAGTACAGCTTAGAACATATCATTTCAGTGGATTATGGTTCAGTTATGTTCCCTGACTAAAGGTACTGAGATGGACCCTTGAGGGTCCCACCCCAGTGACAAGAGCGACACTGCCCCAGTGACAGTTTAGTACCTTCATTTCTGAGAGTGTATGAATGTTGTAAAAAGTAAAAAAAACATCTTAAACAGGTGACACAATCATGCTTGAGCAAAACGCAGCATCCGTTAGCAGCAGTTTAGGAACATTGGGCCTCATTCTACAATATCTTTTATCCTAAATTTGTTCTTCAAGGGTTCTTTAGTAAAGGTAATGGTTCTATTTCGAACCACAAGTTCTATATAAAACCTTAAAGGATTCTTTGCACAGTGAAACGCTTCTTCAAATTGATGGAGAATGTGTGCAGCACCAAGACGGGTTCTGCTATTGTTATAACGTCAAGCTTGCATCCAATAGCAGAACCCTTTATGGTGCTATATAGAGCCATTTTCAAAAAGGTTCTACGGAGAACCATATGCAACACACTCTCCATCAATCTGAAGAACGATTTGCAAAGAACCATGCATGAAATGGTTCTATATAGAATGATTCTAAACAGAACCCTTCACTAAACCCAGCTGGTTTCAGCAGCAGGTGTCCAGCTCACACAGTGGACAGTCCAGTTCGGGGCAGTAGGAAGGCGTGCTGGGAATGAGGGGGGCAGGTGTGGTTTAGCTCCTTTTCCTTTAACTCTGCTCTCAGGTGTCGAGTGTCTCTCAGCTCTGCCTCCTCGTCCCCCCTGAGCCTCAGCGCTGCCTCAGTGCTGCTGCCTGGCCGCTAGAGGAGGAACCGAGCTCCTGTAAGCTCCTGTACGTCCGGCTGGAAGCGCTGCACGAGCTGAAGGAGCAGCCTGGAGAGCTGAGGAGTTTCTTCCTGCCGTTTCCTCTCCTTCTCTCACTTTGTGGAGCTTGGATGGGCTGCAGAAGAGTTTGGAGAGCTGAGGAGGTGATGAGGCATCGCTGACCGAGGAGCTCCACGCTTTGGCTGGAACTATAGCAACAAGTACGGCGGATATAGTTTCAAATATATATATATACATTTTTTTTTTACATTTTTTCCATTTTTAAAATATATTTTTAATTTTTATTTGCTTAACTTTTCGTTTTTTATTCATACTATTCAATTTCGTTTTTATCAGCATTATTTTTGTTACTTTTTAAACTTTTTTACTACAATTTTTTAGATATATTGTGTCAAATACATTTAAAAAAAAACCGCTCATTATCGTCATTAATGGTTGGTGCGTTATCATGGAGCTCGGTCCCGCGTGCTGAGCGCGCGCCCTCCCAGTAAACGATGAAGCTGCTCGGCCTTTATGGACTCGTGTGGAGTTGTCTTGGCTTCGTGCAGAGCGCGCGGGCCGCGCTGGCTGACCACCATGTGCACTCGAGCTTCATCTACAGGCGCCTGCGGAACCACGAGAGGCGCGAGATCCAGCGCGAGATCCTGTCCATCCTGGGCCTGCCGCACCGCCCCAGGCCCTTCTCGCCGGGCAAGCACGCGTCCTCCGCGCCGCTCTTCATGCTGGACCTCTACAACGCCATGACCACGGAGGACGAGGAGACGGTCGTGGTGGGCGAGGAGGGCAAAGGGGCGCGTGGGAAAGCGGCGGAGGGCGCGCGTAAAGGCGCTCACGGCCCCCCGCGGCAGCCCTCGCCCAGCCACAGTCCGCGCCTGGCCACCCCGCACGACACCAACTTTCTCAACGACGCGGACATGGTCATGAGTTTCGTCAATATGGGTGAGTAGCGGGCGCGCGTAAAGGGGCTGCTTTTGCGCGCGCACGTCCTTCGTTGAGCCTGAACCACACGTTGACTGAGTCTTCAGTTTGGCAGTGATCAATAAACCCATACACTCTTAAAAAAGATGGTTCTTCAAGGGTTCTATATAGAACCGTGAGTCCATTCATGCTTAAAGGGTCCTTTCCATGGTGAAATGGTTCTTCAGATTGATGAAAACTGTGTTGTGTATGTAGAACCTTTTTGAAAATGGTTCTGTATAGCACCAGAAGGGTTCCACTATACGTTACACCAATAGAAGAACCCTTGCTGTGGCTATATAGAATCATTTTCAAAGGATTTTCTATATAGAACCATATGCAACACATTCTTCATCGATCTGAAGCACTTCATGCAGAGAACAACTGCAGCATGAAAAGGTTCTATGTAGAACTCAGAAACACTGCCTTTAATAAAGAACCCTTGAAGAACCGTCTTTAAGAGTGTAGTTAAATCAGCTGTACTTTGAACCCTATTCAAGCACGCTTCGCACACCAAAAGCATGTAGAACTCCTGGTTCTAAATAGAATCGTCCCCTTTGTTAAAGAACCCATGAAGAACCGTCTTTTTGAGAGAGAAGGTGGGACTGTGATTGAGCTGAAGCTTCAGATCTGCTTGTTTTATCTCCAGTGATGCAAAATAAAACAAGCAAACTCAAATATTTGAGTTCAGATATTCAAAAAATGCTTAATAACAACATGAAGAGTCTGTTTTAATTCATACATGATCAAATCTGTAGACAAAGCTGTGATTATGTTGGGGCTTCATATCTGCTAGTTTTATCAAAACATATGCAAAAAATCCACATATTAATATTCCATGCAAAAATGCTTGGTTAAAGAAACAGCAAGCGCTTTAAGACTGAACTGTAACATCAGCTGAGGTTTACAAAAGCCATTTTAATCTGGCATTAAGCTTAATCCAAGTCCAGGAGGATCTATAGATGGGACTGTGATTATGCTGTGGCTTCAGATCTAATAGTTTCATGCGAAAATGCAAGCGTTAATATATTTAAATATAATATAAAAAACGCTTAATAAACATTAGCAAGCATTTCAAGAGCCTGTCACAAAGATCTGTTTAATTTATGAGTGTGGTTTAAGCCTAGTGTAGGACTAAACTGTGAATTCAATAGTGATTTACAATTTAAAAGCATCATTTAGTCTAGTATTAAGCTTAATCTGGGTCTGGGAAAATCTAGGGGTGAGCTGTGATCATACTGTGGATTTAGAGCTGCTTGTTTTGTATCAAACAACTTTAATATTTTTAATGAAAAAGTGCTTCATAATAATAGCAAGCACTTTGAGTTCTGTTTTATTTATGATTACTATTAAAATTATTAAAATCAGTGGTGATTTACAATGTAAAAGCCTATTTTAGCCTAGCATTAAGCTTAATCCAGGTCTGGGAAAACCTGTAGATGGAACTGTGAACAAGCTGTGGGTTCTGATCTGAGTTTTGTAGCAAAATGCAGACTTTAGTCTAATCATTTCAAGCAATGGTGCTTCATAAAAATAGCAAGGACTTTAAGAGTCTGTCACAAAGCTCTGTTTTAATTTATGATTATGAATAAAAGTATTCAAATAAATGGTGATTTCAATGTTAAAGGCCTATTTTAGTCTAGCATTAGGCTTAATACGGGTCTGGGAAAACCTACAGATGGGGCTGTGAACCAGCTGTGGCTTCTGATCTGATAGTTTTATAGCGAAATGCAAAATTTAACCCAAATATTTGCGCCCGAATGTCTCCCTACCGTTTTCATGTAAAAGTGCTTCATTAAAAATAGCAACAAATTTTAAGAGCCTGGCAAAAAGATGTTTTAATTTATGATTATTATTATAATTATTAAAATCAGTGGTGATTTCTATGTTAAAGGCCTATTTTAGTCTAGTATTAGGCCTAATCTGGGTCTGAGAAAACCTGCAGATGGGACTGTAAACCAGCTGTGGCTTCTGATCTGATAGTTTTATAGCGAAATGCAAACTTTAACCCAAATATTTGCGCCCGAATGTCTCCCTACCGTTTTCATGTAAAAGTGCTTCATTAAAAATAGCAAAAAACTTTTAGTTTTAATTTATGATTATGGTTTAAGCCTGGCCTAGGACTAAACTGCAAGATCAATGGTAATTGTCAGTTTAAAAGCCTTTTTAGACTAGGATTAAGCTCAGCCTGGGTCTGGGAAAATCTATACGTGACTGTAGTTAAACTGTTGCTGCTAGTTTTATAGCAAATTGCAAACCCAAATATTTCAAATATTTCTGTTCCATTTATGAATGATCAGTGAATCTCTAGATGGAAGCTGTTGTTTCAGGTCTGCTAGTTTCATAGCAAAATGCAAACCTTAATCCAAATGTTTGCACCTAAATATTATCCTACCATTTTCACACAAAGGCGATTAATTAAAATATTAAGATTATTAAGATCCTGCTGCGAAGATCTGTTTTAATTTATGAATGATCATTTATGAATGACCCAGTTTCTTGGTCATGGATTAAGCCTGGTCTAAGACTACACTGTAAAAAGTGGCTCGTCAGATCAACAAAAACAAAAAAAAAGAAATTACTTCTTGTGGTAACAAGTAAAATAACTACATAAATACTTTAAACGAAGGATTCTTTCAATTAACGGAATTTGTCTGTCACCACAGTATTTTTTAGGTTGTTCTGATGATGTAAACTGTTACAACAATAGTGATTTACAGTTTAAAAGCCTTTTTAGTCTATGACTTAGCTTAATCGACTGGGTCAATCATAGATGGGACTGTGATTACACTGTGGCTTCAGCTCTGCTAGTTTTAGCACCAGGCATGCAAAAATGCAAAGCTTAGTCCAAATATTTGTTCCCAAAATCCTAACCACATTGATGGACTTCCAGTGACCCATACAAACAGGTTCAGCATTTGTTTTCCCTAAATCGATGCCCATTAGAAAACTGCTCCCTATTTTTTTTTTCCATTTGTGAGTCTTGAGTGAAGTTATGTAGCACAAGAAGTATTAGTTGCCTTAACTTTGTAGTCAGAGCCTCATGTGTCTCAGGGCCACTCACTCAATATGTAACCCTTTATTAAACATTTGTGAAACTGCTCAATGTTTAAAGCAGCCTGAAATGGCTCAAAGTGATGTTTTGTTTCATGTAAACAGTCAGAGCTTCTAATATGTGGAGAAAATGAAGCCATGAACTGGTGACTGACTTTAGCACTGTGTTGAAATGAAGCTGGAGAATCTGGTTCGCTTTACAACGCAACTCTGAACGTTTCTTCAGGGAGTCAGAGAGGTGGGCAGAGTACAAACTCGGCTATAATTGCTGTTACTTCAATGAAATAATGTCTTAAAGTACAGCACAGGTAGCCAAAGTGTAGGTGAACGTGTCTTCAGTGAAGTAATGTCTCGAGTAGCAGTAAAAGCTCCCACCAAAACTACACGAGCAAAAATGTCAGGTTAAAAACTCTCTGTAGGACTACAGGGAAGCTTCTTAGTCCATCCAGCATCGACCAGCGGAGGAATTTACATTTGTTAGGTTCTGTTCTTCCCCTTTTGGATCCTTTTGTTCTAAAATAAAGGCGAGAAGTGTGGAAAACAGTAAAGCAGTCCAGGAGCTGAACCAACACAATAAACCCACACTGCAAAAAATAGCATATTGTCAGGTGAAATGATCTTAAATCTAGTCGATATGTCTAATATTTCCCATTTCGAGATGGTTGTGCACTTATTTTAAGATTATCTAGCTTATTTCCAGACACTTTTCACTTGTTTTAAGTCATTTTTATTAAATTTGACCTCTTCTCAACTTGAGGAAAGGAATCTGCATGTCGGACGTTCGCTTTTAGTGCCTGTGCGTTGCAAAAAATGGTATCTTGTCAAGTAAAATTATATTAAATACAGTTAAAAAAATCTAATATTTCTCCTGCTGAGATTGTCGTGAGCTTAATTTAAGAATATTTACCTAATTTCTTATTCTTATTCTTATTTTACTTGTTTTAAGTAATTCTATTAGGTAAAATTATCTCACTATGTTGGCAGATAATTTTGCTTGTTGTAAGAAATGTGCTTGAAACCAGCAAAATCTGCCAGTATAGTGAGATAATTTTGCCTAATAAAATTACTTTAAACAGGTAAAATAAAAATCAGAATAAGAAATAAGGTAAATATTCTTAAACTAAGCTTACAACAATCTCAGCAGGAGAAATTTGATTTTTTGACTGTATTTAAGATCATTTTACTTGTCAAAATACCATTTTTTTGCAATGCACAGGCACTAAATGCGGACGTCCGGCATGTAGATTCCTGTCCTCAAGTTGAAAAGATGTCAAATTGTCATGTAAGAATTCACAAAAAAGTACAAACACGTCAAAATGTCATTTACGTACATGGAATTATGTATAACCAGCTAGACGTGATACATAAGTTCAGAACTGTATCAGTGATTTACCTTTATTTGCTTGAATAAAGAACAATTATATAACTACTGTTTGTATAATGACTGTTTATAGTGATGACAACAGAACATTTAGGAGGAAGATACTGAAATCAGTGTCCATACAACTCCATATGCTCCACAGAGCTTTTGTCACTGCTTGTTATGTATCATTTTAGCCTGAATCACATCTCTAGGCTACATTAATCTGAACTAAAATTCATACATCTGATTCAACAGTGATACAAAATTATTCTTTTTAGTGTCACTGATAGGACAAGAAAACTGCATCGCTAATAAAACTGTGCTGAAGTACATTTGTTCTGCATTTATACTCCATAAGTGACCCTTCTAAGTGCTAAAACAGCAAGTGATCTTATATTTTTCACAAACGTCCAGTTTTATAACATTCTCCTGAAGAAAATATAGCCCAACCTTGCTGGCGCAGCCCGTCCTTGAAATCTCCATAAAGCGGATAAAATAGAACATTATGGTCTCTGGAAATGTAGCGGCAATTGCAGGTTAGAGAGGAAACAGAAAACGGCCACTA